GTAACGTTGTTAATTATCTAATAAAAAGTCCCCGGCCAAGAGGTCACCTTAACACCGAAAAAAAAAAAAAAAAAAAAAATCACTCTAATACTATTTTAATAACATGTTTTTGTTTCTTTTTTGGGTCTTTAGGTAGAATAGAAATTGATGATTGAAGTTTGGATAGTGTAGGCTAAACATTTATCTGTAGTACAAATAATATCTTTTTTTCAGCATCTTTTTCAGTTTGTGGGGTTTGAAAGTTTCAGAGATTATTCAGGAATCGAGCCCAGTCTCTTTCATATATGCTTTATATAAGCTCGAACGAATTTTATCTGTCAAAAGATTTGATAAATCAACCAATTCAGCATGCCATTAGTAGTAGTTATTAGTTAATATTTTAGATAAATAATCTTGTGAAATAGTATTGCTAGAGGCAGTTACAAAGTGGCTAGAAGACATGTTATCATTTATATGAATGCAAGTCAATTCAAAATTGTGTAACTGTCAAAGAAAAAATATCACAGTTTACTTATTAGCTCATATCCAGATTTGTGTAGTTGCCTACTTTTGAGATATATGAATTGACAGGAGTAAATACTTTTAATCATCTTTATTTGGTTTATACTATTATTTCAATTTCACACTTTTCACATATAATAAAATAGGATCTAGCTTTATATCTACCTTTTACACTTTTCTCTTCCTCATGACTTTTCTTACATACTGGGCATAATGATCCCTCAAAAATTCTATAATAATCAAATTTTTTACTACTAAATTCTTTATATAGATCAGAATATCTCCACAATATCTTATTATGAAAATAAGCATAGTCATGGGTCAGATTAGATGATACACTTGCCTCGGTTGATTCCTCTGAAATCATTTCTGATAATTTTTCTAGTAATACCTTCTTAGAAAATGAACCTTTTTTAGCTTCTAATAAATCCTTCTTGGATTGAGATATAGTTGGTATACTTATCTTAACTTTTAAATCAAAGAAATTTTCATTATCACTTCATGAACTTGGTTTACAAAGTTGGGTTATATGCTCAGAATTTTTCTCATCACTATGTAACTCAATTTGAATGCTATAATCAAAGGATATATTATCTATAATATACTGAATTTTCTTCTTCGTTAATTTAGATATACTGTTAGCAGAAAAGGAATGAATGCGATAAATTTTATCCATACCTATTGCATCAAAAAGTTTATAAAGCTTCTTTGCTTTTTTGATTCTCTTACATAAAAGGCTATCAGAAATATCTGTGGGTAACTGTGTTTTTATTTCTTTATTTAAAATTCTACTAACAATATTAGATTCTGGATCAACATGTTTTTCCAATACTATTTCATTACGTCTTTGAATAAGGGCCTTTCCAAATAGGCAATAACACATTATAGCTTCTTGGGTTTTATGATCAGCAAGAATTATAGCATCACAAAGTTTTTTATATAAAAGCGTAAAGTTAGCATTGCTGGGTTGAAATTTTGTTTCATTCAGGGTTACATTACCATAAGCCGTGCTAACTTTGCTAATAATAGAATTGGTATATTGTAATTGTGAACTAGAGTTTTTAGAAACTTCTAACATAAATCTTAGTACTTTGTTTTTATTAGATTGCAAAATATTATCCGAAGATAGGTCTTGAGATCTAAACTTATTTTCTCAATTTCTTTCTTTTATCTCATTACTAATCATTTTCTTATGCATTGAGTCCAGAAATTTATTAATCTTCCTATCTTCCAATAATTTAGTTTCTGTGCAGATAAATGATACAAATTCTGAGCTTTTCTCAATTTCACCAAAATTAGATGTAACATTTTGTACCAGATTTGGATCCACAGGGCCTATATAATTTTCTTCATTGGAGTAAGTTTCAATAGTTGAAGTGGATGATTGAGAAATTATAGATAATTCTAAACAAGCTAAGAATAGCAAAATATCTTTTGTGGGAGATGCCAGATTTGGTTCTGTTCTAATTTGGTAACTCTGTCTTTAAGCTCATCATTTTTAGCAATAAGGATGGCAGTATCTATTTTATTTTTTTTTTCTAGCTCTTCTAACCTGGTTTTGAGACCAGTATTCTCTTCTATAACCTGTCTTAGCTTCATGTTCTCAGCCTCAACCTTAGTATACTTCTTTTTAAGTTTACTAATTTTAGCTACAAGCTTAGAATTTTGTTCTAATAAATCGATTTTAGATTGTGTATTTGTCATTGTTTTATATAAGATAGAGAAATATTCAAAAGCTTAAGTTAATAAAAATTACATGAGTACTTTAAAAAAAAAACATCAATCACTTCGTGAACTTAGTTTACAAAGAATTAGGGTTGTTAATGGGTTGGGTTGGAGTGGGTTGGGTTGAGCTATTCTTTTACTTACTCCAACTTGGTTTGGGCTCACTCTGGAGCCACTCCAATTTTGCTTAAAGCTACTCCAGTTTACTCCAGTTTTACTCCAGTATATTTTTATCTCACTCCAACTTGGGTTGGGCTCACTCCGGAGCTGCTCTGGAGTATGCCACTCCATTAACAACCCTACAAAGAATTCACTTTGCCAAAAAATTTAGATAAAATTTTTGATATATCAATGAAGTTAGCATGGTTAATAAATTTACGAAATATACATGCAAATATAAATGCGATTATGTATGCGAAATTGAGCCACCAGAGCCAGCTTTATTATATAAAAATATAAAATATTCTCATCTGGAAGATATCAAAAAATTTTCATAATAGTATTTTATTTTTTATTAGAATACACATGCAAAAGTAAAAGTGATTATATAAGTGAAATTTGACTTATAAATACCATATATGTGCAGGCACATGCTAAAATATAAAGCCCAAAATATTGGCAGACTTTATTTTTTTCAAACACAAAAAATACAATATAGTCACAATAAGAACCCAAAGCACCTGGTGAAATAATTATTCCTATTATGCTAATTTTATTTTTCTAACACTGCTTAATTAATAAAGTTCAATAACTCTACTATAAATTTAGGCTAGCCCAAATGCATTATGCAGTTTCGATCTTTTCTAGCCAGTCATCATTTGAAAACTACTGAAATTTAAACTTCATTAAGATATATTATAAACAAAACAAACATATATTAATCCGTTATAAATAATCACCTCTCTAAACATATCTTTTACCCGATCGAGAGCAACTGAAGTGATTGGTTGTTTATTTGGATTACTTTTACACAAATCTGTGCTGAAACTTGAAAGTTCTAAAGGAATGACTGTAAGATTACATGACCCAATTAAGTTCCCAACGCCCTATATATTAATCTTAAAATCATACTTTTTATTTAGTATTTCAGGAGCATGATCACTTTCAAAAAATTTTTCTAAAGGCTCATTAGAAGAGGAAAAGTCAGCATAGTCAAAGTCGATTAAAATAAATCTTTGATATCTGTCATAATGGCGAATAATATTTGGCTATCGAACATCTCTATGCATTATCGGTTTGGGCTTGATTTCATGTATACCCTGTTGAAATATGATAAAAATATATAAATATAATATATATACATAATAGCAAAAATATTGCAAACTCTACCTTCAAACAAGTTAGTATATAAATTAATGCTTGCAGTAATGCTTTAAGATCATTTGGTTCACGTTGTTCCCCACATGGTGCCAAATTAACAGAATGTGTAGATGCATATTCTAATTTGTCAGAAAATCTAATATTATTTGCCTAAACAAATAGTTAGAATGTACTGTATTCAAAAAAGGTAAAATTCTTGAAATTTTTGAACTTACGCTTAGCATTCTATAAATTTCTTTTAAATGAGTAACTCGCCTTTCATCCACAAATTTTTTTTTAATCGTATACCCAAGTTCGATAATAGTTCTATTTGGTCGAATCATTGTTTGAAATTCTGGTGAATTCCTAGTAGGGCATAAATTCACTATAATAGGTAATATACAACCTAAATAACTATATAATAAATTAGTACTTTGTGATAACAATTTAAAACTCAAAAAAAACTTACAAATATTTCAAAGGAAATTCATAATGCAAATTCTATCTGACAAATACCCTAAATCAAACTCCGCAATTCGTTCAAAGCAAATGTTCAGTTTTCTCTTCTTATTTTTAGACTTATACAAAGCAACAAATATGACTTGAGCACCAATAGCATAGTATACAAAAATATATGGTGCATCTTCATAGGTCCAATCTTTGATCTTATCAACTAATTCACTTGAAGGATCTCCTGCTTCTTCCCGGAACTTTTCTTCACCTCAAAAAGGACAAACGTTTCTCACTAATACAACCATGTCTGGACGATTGCGACCTATAATTTTTTTGTTAATATATATTATACTTATCAATCACATTATTTAATATGTATCGGGTATAATTATTTTTTGTCTATTCTTTACAAATATCTTGAATATTGGGTATGTTTATATTTTGATTTTATTAACTAAGACTCTTTATTTAATAAGTATAAGCCAAGATCGCTAGATCTTTGGTGGCAGTTGTGAACAATTTTTAGCTTATAGGTAAATATGGTTAGTAAGTTGGTTTGCATATATAACTTTACTTAAAAAATATCTAATAAGTCTAATTATTGTAAAGCAGGTCCAAAGCAGTAAAGCTGAGTTATAGTGAATGAATAAATAAGTTATTAACTAATCTAAATACTCCTATATAAGTCATAGATATCCTTAATTTCAGAAGTATTTTTATTAATTGCCTTGGGTGTGGGAGCTAGGGCTTCAGATTCAGGTTCTAGATCTGAGTCAAGGTTAGAATTGGAAATATCACCTTTGGCATAATATATTCCAGAATTATGATAATCCATCTTATGCCTCATTGCAACTCTGCTAAGAAATTCAAGATGTTGTGAAGTTGAATTTTGACTACCATGAACTCTAGAAGCATGTTTACCTCTAATTTTTCTTAATTTTTTGGCTATAATACCATATGATTTTAAAAATTTACTAAATACTCCTGTACTGCATTTTCCATTGATACTATAGACAGGATTGTATAACTTTCTAGTTGCTATTGTATCTTGAATCCAGGTAAGCAATTCTTTTGCACGTTCTGAATTCTTTTTCATGGATAGAAATTGCCAAGGTTTAGGATTATTTTTTGCTTCTCCTTTATTTTTAATATACTTGATACAATATCAAGAATAACCAGGCTTGTACTATTTAGGAGGATTTGATTCACCAAGTTTATAATGGATAATACGAAGAGTAGCAACTTCGGTAGGTCTCATACTCAACATCATAATTACATCTGCAAGATCTTGCATAGTAGGGATTTTAGTAGTATTGATATTTTGAATTCTTCTAAGTCATTTTTCTAAGGAAAAGTGTTTAGGAGTTTTAGATAGATTGGGTAATCACTGTTTGAGTTGCCTCTTTTGAATTTTGTTAGAAGCTCGAGTAACTTCTGGTAATTTGGCATATATATAATTTTGCTCAGAACCAACCTCAGCTTTTGCTAACTTTCTACGAAATTGTGAAATATGAGAACTGGCTGCTATAATTGCTTCATCTATATTATTTTTTGGCACAGCTAAGTCTAAAACATGTAACCAAATATCCCACATATCTTTAGTTTTTGCACAATATTGAGCTCTTTTCTTAATAGTAAGCCTTTTTTTTTTGTTGTTTGGAACCAGAGCTCCTATTTGATTTTTTTTGAATAAGCACCAACAGAGAGCCTCTTTCATATCTTTATGAGCCTTCCAATCTGGTAGCATAGTACTAAGCTCATCAGCATAAGCATGTAATTGAAGCGGGTTTGATTCGGCCAATAGGTTATATTTATTGAGGACCTGATTCAAAATGAAGATAAAGCTATTAGTTTTGGGTTTTCTAGTTTTTTGGACAGTTGCTATGATAGATATATAAATAATCTATATTGATAAATAAAATATGATTATAGATTAACCTACTTATTTTTTTCAATTCAAAATTAATTATGCTTTTTCCTCTTATACTCAGAAAAAAAGGTTATGTATACCTATAGAGTAAGTAAAGTGTCAATTTGAAATTTACTAACATATAGGATATAATGAAAAAATTTATAGCCTTGGAGTTACAATTCAGGCTAAATTAAGATTTACAATTTATTTTTATTTTTTATAATGCTTGGAATAGATTTTGGCATTTTTTTATACTCATGGACCATTTCTTGTAAATATCAGGTCTATTTTCTATTATATCAATTAGTGGTATCATAGCTGGATGGGACAAAATATTCATGAATCTAATTTGCTTAGGATAATAATAATCTATAATATCAGGTAATTGTAGAAATTCAGCTAAATCTTTTATGTACCTAAAACTATTACACATTAGTTTGCAGGATGTTGGTTCATTGTGATCGATCTCTCTCTTGGTTAATAAGTTGACTACTTTCTGGAGTGTTTCCATTTTTAAGTGTGATGTATAGTGTCAATATATATTCGATTATATTATTACAAAATAATTTAGAAAAGTTTAAATTGATTTTATATTAAATATATTTACATAAAAAGTGAAATGAGCTTTATATGTTATATATTAAATCACTTTGAATAGGGTATCCAATCAGTCAATATGTTAAAGAAGATGATTCAGAGTGTTCAACATATTAATATGTTAAAAGTGATAGTTTGGGCGTTCAACCTGCCTATATGTTAAAAGAGATGGTTCGATTTGTAGAAAAGGTTGTTGGCAGAATATAAGGTGTTTATTGCACTGGAAATTATATAATACAAATATAGCAAAATTTTCTTGTAAGATCTGAGAAAACTAACAATTTCTGGGACGGGATATTGTCCTAAACATGCGAAGAGGGTTTACTTTCGAAATTGATATAAAAGACAAAAGGCGCAGAGAATAGAAGTGGATGAATAATTGTATAGATCCTGATATTAAGCATCACAAAAATAGCATTCGTAATAGGGTATTTTTTACAAGTATCAATTTTAAGCATCACAAAAATGGTCTTCATAATGGATTTTTTACAAGTATCAATTTTAAGCATCACAAAAACCTCCTTTGTAAAATATACCATGGACTCTAAATACTTGTTTTAAATGATATCGAATAAGTTCTGAGTATTTTGTGAGATACAATTAGGAGATGGTTTTAATTCATTAGGTGAGAGTTTACTATACCCATAACGTATATCCTTACCATTTTCATAAAATTGCCCTTTATCTGTTTGATATGGTGGTAATTTGGAAGCCTCCTTATAGTCAAATATTTCAACTAGATGGTAATATGTATTTTTATTATTGGTAGTTTTAAACTTTATCCCATAGATTGCAGAAAGTGCTAAATTTAATAAACCAAGTTTTGCTTTATCCAATTTTAAGCCAGATTTTTTAGCACTACGAGATGCATCTATATTATCAAAAACCCGAGCCATTTTTGGTACTAAATTTTGGAGGTATTGTATCAATTCTAATAAGTTTAAGCATGTTTTGACATCAATAACTTTATATCTATTTTGATCATCAATATCTTTAACAGGTGTACAAGTTTTTAGTAATTCCAGACAAATTCGATGCTTCTCAGCTTGGGTAATGGTTGTAAGTCTATCATTCCTATAATCTTCACGGATAATAGCCTCAACTGCTGTCTCATTATTAGTATCTGTATCTCGTAGTTTCCAGAGGTTTCTGAACCATTTCATATAATCATATTTATTGTAATCTGTAATAAATTCTTCAGTTATAGATTCAGGTGATACTCCATAGCAATCTGCAATATGATACCGGTTTAACGCATATATTTCTTCTAAAGTCTTCTTTGGCTTGTTTTCTAGGTGTCTAGCCATCTCATGATTGAGAATATTGGCATTAGCAATGTCTAAAATTTTCTCTGCTTTAATAGCCAAAGAATACCTCTTTACTGTTTTAGTTAATGTCATGGTATCATTTTTAGCTTTTGGAGTGGCTTTTATTATAGAAATTATCATACCTGCCTTTTTAAGAAAATCTACCATTCTTCACCCAAATAAACGACAAGATTAGAATTTTTCCAATATATATGCCACCTATAATCAAATTGTTAGAATATCTTTATTTCAAATTATAGATTCTACATCTGGAAATATTCCTCTATTCTGAAGCTCCGGAGGTAGAGATTCTCATTTTGCTTTTAATAATCAATTAAATAACTCTTTTTCCATAATAGGGACATTAGATGCTCTTTGCTCAATATAACACACATAATCCTTGATATATCTTATATGAAACAGTATTTGATTTGTTCTAGCATTTGTTTCAATATAGCTGTTAAAAAGACAGAATGCCTGCTCAAACTTGTAGTTAGTACAAGAAACGCCTATTTTTAAAGTGCTAGTATATGCAACAAGGTCCACCTCTTTTCACAGTTCATCAACATTACCAAAATCTTGAGCCTTTTTAGCCAGATCAGACTTACTATAGTAATTTTTAATACATAATTTGAGAAAATTAGTTCTAAGAGCATGAACAATCCCTTGTACATCCTTTCTGAGATGACAGATAAGAGATATACTTTTTCGTTCATTGGGAGGTAATGAAGACATTTGCTTAGCCCATTCCCAGAGTTTGGCTAATACAGTTTCTTTATTAGAAGCCAAGCGAAATGTTTTATCTTTTTGTAGTTGATAAATGTTATAGATAACTGAAAAGAGTTTATTTCTGTGAAGGTTTTTTATCCATTCAATATTAAGGTCTGTAAGATCATTATCCATAGCAATAATTTGCCTCACCTCTTGAATTAATTTATATAAATCCTCTCTTGATCACCCTGCTAAACAGGTGTAGGTTTGAGCAATTATAGATACTATTTCATCAAGCTATAAATTATATGGTATTGGAGAACATTTATATTTCTTCTCGCATCTACATTTATTAATAATGCGATATAAACTCTCTATTTGACACACTACTCTTTGATGGTCTGGAAGGTTAATATTACCATCGATATCAGTATACGATTTGAGGTTGAGCCTTAAAGTAATGGCACTAGAATAAGTGTGTTGTGTAGATAATACAAGTAAGTTTACGCCATCAGTTATTGTAAGATGCTCTAAAGTATAAGTTTTTTCTGTTTTCCAAGATGAGCCTACATATATATCACCTTTTTTAGGTAAAGGTTCTACATATTGCTTCTCATACACTTCTCTCACGGTAAGAGAAGATTCACATTTAACCCAACTCAGCATTTCTAAAAAGAGTTTCGGGAACTTTGGGCCTTTTATTTTGGGATGGTTGGGGGTATTATTATTTTTTTGTTAGATTTTTTCCACAATAGATGGGTCGTTAAAAATTTCTTCT